GGTTGATGTTGAAACGAAAGAACAATGAATGTGCCTGCATTCCAAAAGTCAATGCTCACTATGGGACTCGAATCTACTATCATTACTATCAACATACACGTCTCCTAGTTTGTCCAATCGGATAAATTTGATGATTGAAATTCAGTGCTTAACATCAACAATGACATCAGTTGAAGGTGTTAGTTTGAGTACTGATATTGTGGTATGTGCTACTGATATCGACTTATATAAGTAGTATGTATTATCAGTCGAAAGTGTAATGCATGGCAACAGAATGTTAAGGAGATCGAAGAATAGAGATTTACTGGTGTGTAAACGAAAGAACAATAAAGTCTTAGACAACTGATTAATATTTTACAAATGAAGTATTCACCGTTTGATTCTCAGACCCTATCAAGTTACCTATCATATCTCATTCGATTGTATTTGATTGTCCTCGTTAGTGTTGTCGTTCACCAGAATACAAGTGAACTTTGAATTAATTTCAGTGATTATTTATTTATTTGTTTTGTTTATTTACTTATTATTAAAGTGAATACAAACAATTTTTTAACCGAAAACAAACAAACAAGCAACAACACACCGTTATATTAAAACAAACGCTATAAAACAACGTAACCATACACATTCACACACACTCACATTCATATTCAGTTATTTATACAATCGAATATGTAAAATTGTTACAGGGTTTTTTTTTTGTTGTTGTTGTTGGGTAAATGGATAATGTCAACGAGAGAGAGGGGGAGTGTAAGAGCGAGAGAGGGGGGGAGAGTTAGTTACTATCTCAATTTGTCTTGGACATATTTATTTATATTTTTTTGTGTGATATCATATTACACAAGTCAATTTTAAAATAAAAATTATGTTATTGAATAGATACAACAACAACAACAACAAAAAATGAAGCTCATACACTTTATGAAAATGGTTATTAGTGGTTAATTTCGAAATGTAATTTCCATGGTTTATAACAATTAATGGCATTGTCATTTGCTTGTGTCTTCTCATTGTTGATTAGGGGCAACAGCTGACTAGTCTCTTGTTAGTAAGTGCGTCCTGTATGGATGCCTCAATATGCGCGTTTCGTCCCACTTCAGACTCGTCAGCTAGATGTACCTACATCTCAGAATTGATATTCACTCCGAGATTTGAACTCAGTATTGTTCCCTTCAAACGTCAATGTGTTATCTATGATGGATGAGAACATAGGTGGATACAACCAGTTGTGCTTGAATACAAAATTACAGAGTTATTTGGTATAAATATGAAAACCAAACGTCAATACATCATTTGGAAAACCTTCATTAATTATCTCGAACTTCATCGTTCCTTCATCACCATAAAAATTACTGTCTGTTGCCATTGTCTTCGATTTGATCTTCCTCAACTTTCTGCTGCTAGACATTCCACTTCTGATTGGTATTATATACTACTTATGTCGATATAAGTAGCATACACCACATATCCACTAAGCTACTGAGTTCAGATAGCAGTAGTTTGTGCAATGAGGTTAAGTTTTAATTCATTTTGACGTTTAAAACTGCGATTGATCAGTCTTCTATAGAATGAAACGCGCATCGTGAATTACACTACAAGCCACTATCCATTTTGCTTGAAAACTAGTGACTCAAGACTATATCAAGGCAATACGCACAGGATGTACATTTACCAACAAGAGACTGATCAATTACAGTCCTAAAACAACAGTATGAAGATTCATATCAATTAATACCAAATGAATTTGAACTTCATCACATTGCACAAGAAGGTGGTATCAAGACTCATTGGCTTATTGGATAACGTGATGATGTTTGAAGCGAACTATACTAGTTTTCAATTTCAGAGCGAATATCAACTGTTGGATGCAGGTACATCAAATTGATGAGTCCCAGATAGGACGAAACACGTATCAAACTGGACTCCAATTCTACTCACCATCCATCTTTGTGATTTTTCTCTAAATTTTTCATTTAAATTGTTTTTTTTCTTTTCTAGTTGTCTACGCTGACTGTACATAAACAATAAGACGTTAATATTGATTTCCATTTGGATACATTCTTTAAACAATAAATGTCTCAATTTTCTTAAAAGTAACAACATTTGGCCATATATCGTATTGATTAATTTAAACAAAAAAGAATCTTAACTGGTTGAAATCGTGAGTCAATTGAAGCTAGATCACCATGGAAAACCTGGAAGCACTGGAGGGCCGTTTCGTCCTAGTAAGGGACTCCTCAGCAGTGCGCATCCACGGTCCTGCCCCTTGCGAGATTCGAACCAGGAGATACTCCTGAAGTTCTAGTGAGAAGTCGTTACCAGTGTAGTTCAACCAGGTCTGTTGTGAGATAGGAACTCACTGAAGACAATGGTGTACGGTGGCGCAACTTCGTGGATTGGTTGAAGTTAGACATTAACACCGTCAGATGCCGCCTCAGTGGTCTATTTGGTTAAGCGCCTGGCGCGAGGACTGATAGGTCCTGAGTTCGAATCTCGCATGGGGGGCAGGATCGTGGATTCGCGCTGCTGAGGACTGTCACTTTAGGACGAACGGCCGTCCGGTGCTTCCAGGTTTTCCATGGTGGTCTAGCTTCAATGGACTCATGATTTCAACCAGTGAAATTTCTAAAAAATCTCCACAAAACCCACTTCTGATTATAAAGAATCTATTGACATGGTGGCCTACTCAAACTAATTTTCTTTTCACTAGTTCAGATCACGAATCAATTGAAGCTAGGTCATCATGGAGAACCTGGAAGCATTAGATGACCGTTTCATCCTTGTCTGAAAGTATTCAACAGTGTGAATCCAAGACTTAGCTTGTCTGGTATAAGACAATTATCCCGAAGTAGGCAATCTTGTAAGGGTTGTGAAATATAATGAGTTGCTTGAAGCTAGACTTTCTCACTGTTTGGATGCTGACTTGGCTGATCTAGAAATTAAGCGTCCATGCACGAGACCGTATGTCCCGGGTTGAATTTCTAGATAAGTGATCATAGGTCCACACTCTTGATTGGTTCCATACTAAAAGATTTGTAGCTGTTCAGTGCCCCCACATTTTCAGAAAGTGCTTTAACGTAGACTGGTTGGTGATTCAATAAAGTTTCATATTTGTCTAATTCTTAGTGTTGATGGAATTATTTCAATAAGTTTATTATCTCTCCATCAAACACTTCGAAATGTTTAATCAATGTTTCTTCTTGAACTGATAACATCTCTAATATACAAAGTTTTAGTTTGAAAATCTTTGTTATCATGTGATTTTGTGGTTTTGATGACTTTTGTGTAAAAATAAATTTAAGCTCAATTGTTTCCCCATACTGATTAGCTTCGTGAGGGAATTCTCGGAGATCTAATGAGAAACCGTGACCAGTGGAGCTAATCCATGTCGAGTAGAGACAGGTACAATGGAAGATGATCGCGCAGTTTCGCGGATTGGTTGAAGTCAGACATTAACACCACTAGGTGCCGGCCAGCTCAGTGGTCTAGAGTTTAACCGTTTGCGTTCCAGACCGTAGGACCTGGACTCGAATATCGTGAGGCAAGATCATAGATGCGCAATACTGAGGAGTTCCACAATAGAATGAAACGGTCATCCAGTGCTTCCAGGTTTTCAATGGTGGTCTAACATCAATCAGTTCATGATCTCAATCAAAAACTTAATGATCTCCACAACCCCGTATTGATAATTACCATGTGCTCACCAGTGACTGACTTCATGAGGGAATTCTCGGAGTTCTAGTGAGAAGCTGTGACCAGTAAAGATTCGCATCTGTTTACTAACGATTCAACTTAAATAAACACATCAATGGACTGCGAAATTAGAAACCCATCTCCACCTGACATGGATTAGCTCCACTGGTCACAGCTTCTCACTAGAACTCCAAGAATTCCCTAAAGAAGCTAATCCCTGGTGAGCACAATAATACCGTTGGATTCCACTCAGTCCAGTGACCTAGAAGTTCACTGTTCGCATGCAAAACCGATAGGTCCTAGGTTCGAATCTATCGGAGCGGAATCGTGGATGCACAATGCTGTGGAACGAAACAACCATCCAGTACCTCCAGGTTTTCAATGATGATCTAACATGAATCATTTCATAATCTCAATCAAAAACTTAGTAATCTCTACAACTCCATTGATATACTTCTTCCTACTCAAATTGGATCAATATTAAAACAGCTACAAATCTTTACAATGACATATATATTAGATTTATGACTTAAGTTAAACATTACCAATGATATACAGGTATAAGTTTCATTGACTATCAATTGACTATCAACTGGCGTGATACTTCTTTCTGTTTCAGAAAAAATTATCCCCATAAATGCCCTGGTATGGCTGAGAGTAGAGGTGAGCCCGCTCTCCCCTCTCGAAATACTGTCACACAGGCCACGCGTATACTAGCCTCTGCAAGAGAAGTCCTACTCACTTACCTTCTCTGCACCAGGGGTGTTGTTTACGAAAATGAGAGGATGAAAAGCGAATGTCCGACGCTTTAACTCGATCTGAAACCAATGGTGCATATGGGCTCCAGTATCCTGAGGGAATAAATGGCATACGAACCAATCGTTGGTCACCAGCTACCATGGGAATGCATCTCCTCACTATGCTCGACTGCCTTGTGGATCAGACCTTAAGGTCAAAGGCTCGGGGTGTGGCCCCCTAAGAAAACCACCTGCCTTCAGTGTGAGTACCCGGATCAGTATCCCAGCCCGCACAAAAATCAAATGATTTCTGTGGTGCATATATATCTGGGGCCCCCTTGTGCCAATGTTTATGCGTTTAAATAAATAAATAAATAAATAAACTATATTAAATTGTAAAGGAAAATGAACTCATTAATAAAAATATCAATGATCTTTATACATATGGGATCAAATAGATTAATAAAAGGATCATTTGAAATGCACTTGAATTCAATTTTTGTGTTTCTTTGATCAAAATGATATTATCCTATAATATAATGTTTAAACTGATAGTTGCCATAGCAACTATCAATTATTATTATTATTATTATTAATGTAATTATTTTCTAAATGTACTTTTTGATTAACTTCAACAAATTGATGTACACCAAAACGAAATTTACATTTTCCATATGTTTCTATATAAAATATACGTTGATTTGATTTTGTCATTGATTCAGTCCATAAATAAGAATTTTGTTCAGTATCATTTTGTTTAAAACGATCAGATTTTAATGATTCTTGTATAATTGTACCTAAATCTCCTTCAAGATATTTAATTAATGAATTATCATGAATAGGATCTAAGAATAATATTCGAATTCTTCCATACATTGATGTTTTTAAACGAAAACAACAATTCATTTCTTCTTCTTCAATTTTTACCTAAAATAAACAAGAACAATAACAACAACAAAAACTAATTTCAATTATTGAAATAATGAGTTAGTTGGTGTTGGATCATCATGGAAAACTTAGAAGAATTGGACGATTGTTTATGTTCTATTGTGAGACTCCTCGACAGTGTGTATCCATAATGATGCGTTGAGAGATTTAAACCCAGGACCTATTGGTTGAGGTCATGAGTTAATTGAAGTTGGATCATCATGGAAAACTTTGAAGCATTGGAACTCCGCCTGAAGTCCCTCTAGGGTCTACTGACAGTCCCAAGCTCGGTTAAAGGAGGAGGGTTGGGCATGGGGTAAACGATCCCATCCCGTAGAAAATTAACTCGCTAAAAATACGCTAACTAGAAAAAGAAGCACTGGACGATTGTTTTGTCCTATTGTCAGACTCCTCGACAGTGTGTACCCATAAAGCCACATTGAGAGATTCGAACTCAGGACCTATTGGTTGAGGTCATGAGTTAATTGAAGTTGGATCATCATGGAAAAATTAGAAGAATCGCACGATTTTTTATGTCCTATTGTGGGAATCTTCGGCAGTGTGTATCCATAATGTTGCATTGAGAGATTCGAACCCAAGATCTATTGGTTGAGATCATGAGTTGATGTGAACAGGGAAGCAAGAAGCCCTGACAAACTACGATAACTATTTTTCGGCACGTTATTCCATTTTATGCAAAGCTTGTAAAACATTGACATTTATTTTTGCCCCTAATCTATTCTACAGAACATAAGCTTTCGTTCGATATATGATTCATTGCCATACCTTTTTCTGTTCCGAAGCTATTGCAATTTAAACATAATATTTTGCACTCTATTTTCTACTCTAATTCCCAGCATTGGATGTAATTGTAGTTTTCCTAATTATCGTACGTTGTGGTCGAGTTATTCACTTATTTATTCATGTACCTTTATACACTAATCTGGAATCAGAAGAAATCAGGATATCGGGAATAGATCGAGAAGTGTTCCAGTTATCTTGTCTTCTCTCATTCGTGTTCTTGACAGCCAACCAATCGGTAGAATAGTTTTCTTCTCTCTACCTCACTTCGAATTCACTCGTACTAGCCTTAAGGTTAGGTCGGTTAGCCTATCGCGCCAAGTTCTTCATCTGGATTAGATAAGTATCCTCAACACCAAAATGGGTAGACAGTCCAAGGACATAACATGACTTAATTGAAGTTGGATCATCATGAAAAACTTAGAAGCATTGGACTGCCGTTCTGTCCTATTGTGGGACTTCTCGACAGTGTGTATCCAAAATGCCACATTGAGAGATTCGAACTCAGGATTTATTGGTTGAAATCATGAATCAATTGAAGTGAGATCATTATGGTAAACCTAGAAGCATTGGACGATTATTTTGTCTTATTGTGAAACTCCTCGGCAGTGTGTATCCATAATACCGCCTCAAGAGATTCAAACCGAGCACCTGTCAGTTTTGCGCGCGAACGCTTGACTTCTAAACTACTGAGCTAGCATCCAATGGTATTAATGTATAACTTCTACTAATCCATGAAATTCAGCAACACATCCACTACTGTCTTCAGTGAATTACTATCTCATAACAAACCCGGTTGAACTTCAGTGGTCATAGCTTTTGATTTGAACTACAGGAAATTACTATAATATCCACAAGAACCCTTCTGATCTGAAGAAAAAAATTAATTAAATTGGACACTAAATGACAAACTCTGATGAACTGTTTTGTACACGAATACGACTTCAACGTTTAGATAGTGGTTATCGGAGGTTAATGTCATACACACAGTGTTTTTAATGTTTCCATAGTTAGTCGTACTAAACACCTTCAATCAACCTTTTGATTCATGTCATTGTAGTAAATTGTTGTTTAATAGGCCCTGGGTTCGAACCCTGCGATCGGGGTCATAGATGAGCACTGAGGAGTAGTTTCATACTGAGACGAAACAGTTGTCCAGTGCTTCCAGGTTTTCCATGATGGTTTAGCTTCAATTAACTTATGAATTCAAATGATAAGTTACTAAAATCTCAACAAAACCCCATTCTGATCATTTGTATTTGTTTGTATCATTTGAAGCCCTAATGCTTACTAGATTTATGTTTTAGATCCTTCATGTTCAGATGTACTTCACCGAACACGTTCATAGTAGGCAGTTGATGAGAAATTCAGCTATTTGCAATGAAATCCTTATTAAAAGTATACTTTTGTATCCAGCTTTCATCCATTAAATAAACACTAAAAAAATTCATTGATGCTCTCAACTTTATCACGAGTATTGTGATTAATCTCCATAAAGAAAACACACTTATTTTTTCTGGTTATCGTTTTGTTTAGCGAGTTAGTTTCCTAAGGGGTGGGATCGTTAACCCCACGCCAAACCCTCCTCCTTTATCCGGGCTTCGAACCGGCAGTAGCCCCATAGGGGCTCCAGGCGGAGAAATCCGGAAGAACCATTGGAAGTGGATAGGATACACATTGAGGAAAGCACCTAACTAAGTCACAAGACGAGCACTCATATGGAATCCTCAAGGCCAAAGGAGAAGAAGAAAAAGAAGAAGAAGATTAAAGAACACATCACTTCGAGAAATTGATACAGACATGACAAGAATGAGCAACAACTGGATAGAACTAGAAAAGAAGGCCAGGACAGAGTGAGTTGGAGAATGCTGGTCGGTGGCCCATATTCCATTTGGAGTAACAGGCGCAAGTAAGTAAGTAAGGAATAATCACAAGGAAAAGTCAATGATGAGTGATGATTTGTTGAGTCTAACGAGTTAGATAAGGTACATGTACTCATTGATTACAATAATCAGTTCCAAAATAAAAACTAAACAATGGGCCTTAAATATGGTAGAACTTCAAATAAAAACAAAACAGTGATCTAGAGCTACTCAGTTTTTAATAAAAATAAGAGTTTGTAGAAATTGTAGTCCATACTAGGACGAAAATGTCGTTCGATGCCCACAGGTGTTTCATGGTAGTCAAGTATTATTATTATTTATTTGAACATAAAAATATTGGTACAAGAAGGCACCAGATATATATGCACCACAGAAACCTCATCTGATTTGTGTGAGGGCTGTGATACTGTCCGAGTGCCTAAACCGAAACAGGTGGTTTTCTTAGAGGGCCACACCCCGAGCCTTCGACCTAAAGGTCTGATCCGCAAGGCCACTGAGCATCATAAAGAGATGCAATCCCATGGGAGCTGATGACAAACGATTGGTTTGCACGCCATTTATTCCTTCAGGATACTGGAGCTCATGTGCATCACTGGTTTGGAATGAGGGTTTTTCAACTCCCCTAGGTGGACTCTCCATGTCTACCAACCCTGTTTAAGCCCCTGTAGGACATTCGTCTTTTCGTACTCTCAATTTCATGGAGGACACCCTCACCTCGAGAAGGCAGTGAGTAGGACTCTCCTAACAGAAGCTATATACGCGTGTCTATGTGAGAGCATTTCGAAAGGGAGAGCGAAGTCTCCCAACTCTTGGCCATACCAGGGCATTTGGGGGCTCATGGTAATCTAGCTTAGATCAACTCATTAATCCAATTAGTAAATTACTAAAATTTCCAAAATCCTTCATTCTGATATTAATAATCATCATCATGTGCTCACTATTGACTGACTTCAAGATGTGCATCCTGGACTTCTAGTGAATAACCGTGACCATGATCATGTAGTAGCGGTTTGTCTTATGTCGAACCTACTATAGTTTATTCTACCTTCTGGACAAACCGATTTATCTATTCTTCTCAAGTTACATTTTGACTTTGCTAATTATTGGCTTATCAACCTTAACTGTTTTTATGTAAACATATGTGTGTTTACATATCTTATCTTACTCATCATATGCCTGTAACTTATTTTTGTTCGGCTATAAATATCGATTAACGTTTGATTAAAACAAATTGGCTCATAGGTCTTCTCTATTGCGCTTTACTTCGCTTCGCTTTGTTACCTGACCGTTTATCTGAATCAACGATTATATGAAATATACGTATTTGAAATTTATTTCAATATAACCATCAATCATACGATATTACTGGAGTCAGGGCCACAAAAATCAGTGGAGTTTACCTGTGGCTATTGTAAGACGGTTACTCACTGAAGACAATGGTGGACGTTCGTGTAATTTCATGGATTGATTGAAGTTAGATATTAACACCATCAGAAGCCGGTTAAGTGGTCTAGAGGTTAAACGTTCGCCTGCGTGACTGAAGGTCCTGGGTTCGAGTCCCACATAAGGGATCATGGATGTGCACTGCTGAGGAACTGCCGTCCAGTGCTTCCATGTTTCTAATGATATTCTAACATTGATCGACTCATGAATTCAACTTTAAAAAATGAAAGTGATATCTATCCTTAACCATTATTGATATAAATATCATACTCAATGAACAAGTTAACGATTATTTGTACTTAGCAACATATTAGCACAGAGATACAATTGTCGATTCAAATCCCATAATGGTAGATGTAGTAAAAGTATAAGTAGTGTGTTATTTACGTTTACATATGTAAGTACTTAATAACTGGAGATGATTAATTTCATAATAGATGAAGAACATGACCCATATTCATTAGAAATAATGAAGGTTGGTTGATAAAACATTGAAATCAATAAGACTCTCCAGCTGAGAGCAATCACCCATAATCCTAAAAGGAATAGAATCTAGTGTAATGAAGTTTCATTGAAAGTGCTTCATCGTCAAGTGATTGAGTTGACATCCGGTGGTCGACATTTTTAACTTCAGAAAACTCTTGATAATGAACAAATATAGCTGACAATTATTTCAGTTTCGACAGCGGATTCTTTTATATTCCGTCGAGAATAGTGAATGGTAACTATCAGTTTGCATTTATGGACCTATACGATATATATATATAAGTTGTATTTTGACCTGCAAACTATTATGATACGATTTACCGTTCTTGAGTTAGGCCCAGCTTATCAATTCTTATCTCCCACATTCAAAGTTACTTTCGGCTAGATCTTGTACAAATGTGTATTTTCCAGTTATGATACAATGTGATCTGTTTAGTGTGTATATAAACACAGTATGTTTGAAATAAATGATTCATATCGCAGAGGCTGAGATTGGTATTCTGGACTTAACAGGCAGGCAGGACTGGGTGAGAAGAAGGACTGATAATAATTCGAGGCTGTTCGTCATTGGTCAGGTCGATAAATCACTGTACTCTAATTGGCGGTATCATTACGTCACATAGAATAATAGAGTACAGGGCCACAAGTTATAATAGATCCAACTTACATCTCTATGTTAGTCACCAGTTAATTACATGACGGTTTGCTAAAATAGGAGTTAGTGAGGATTGATAGATTTTAATCTGAGTAAAATCGTGAAATGATTGAAGTTAGAAATGTAAACTACCATATTTCATCTCAGTAATGTGAAGGTTGATTATTATTATTATTATTTGAGAATTTCAAATCTATCCCTTATCAAACTCATTAGGAGTTCATTAGACTCTAAGGAATGTTTTATCCAACTTAGCAGTGAGTAAAACCTTTTCAGAAACATCTTGAAATATGAAGGATCATGTATCACGTTTCTGATAATGATGTTTACGGATAGTTTTGGAAGATCAAGGTCACATGAAACCCTAAAAGTAAATTTGAGTGAGACAATAATTTATGGATAACCTTTGAGCGACGCTAAACTGACCTAGAGAGTGTTCACCTAATAACTAGGACTAAATGAGGGTTATAAACCACTGTGAGGACTTCGAATTGTGATTAACAGCTGATGGTCAAAGTTATGAATTACATTAAGGTTTTTCATCACAAACTGATATCAGCTATAATGCCAAGACTCTATTTAGCCAAATGGATGAATGATTTTCGTGCCAAAATCCGAGACCTGTTAACTAATACGTGATAAATTATAGTCTCACCAAAAGGCTTAAAGAAATGAATAAATTGTATCATTCACATTAGATGAAAGATTCAGTAGGCAACCAACTTCGAGATACATAAACCGGATTCCGTGAGGATTGATTCTGTATCAACCAAATTGCGACAGTATAGATCATTGTTGAGCAATTAATTGAATGGAACTCGTCATCATACTCCAACTTCTTTGACTATGAAAAAGTATTTTATAATGTGGATAGAACGACCTTATAGGACCTTGTTCGACACTATGGTGTATCCGAGAAGATCGACAATATTATTCGGAATTCATATGACGGACCACACTGCAAAGATGTGCAAGGAGAACAGCTGACATACACTTCCAAGTGAGGACCGGTTTCAGACAACGTTGCTTACTCTCTCCCTTTCTCTTCCTTCTGGTGGTTGACTGGATTATGAACACCTCAATCATGGAATACAGTGGGCAGCTTGAATGCAATTAGACGATTTGGACTTCGCAGATCACCTAGCTCTTCCATCCTATTCACATCATCAAATACAGGTGACGACAAACAGGTTAGTAGCAGCCTCTGTAGAAGTAGCCCTCAACATACACAAGGGGAAGGTTGACATCCTCCAATACAACACGGAGAACACCAACCAAATCACATTTGATGGAAAAACTTTGGAATAGGTGAAATCGCCCACGTACCTCGGTAATATCATCGGTGAACAATGAGGATCTGATGCGTATGTAATGCTAAGGATCGGCAAAACAAGGTCGACATTTCCACAGTTGGAGAACATGTAGAACTCAAAATAACTGTTAACCAACGCCAAAGTGTGAACCTTTACTATGAACATCAAGATAGTTCTACTGTACGCATCTGAAACTTGAAGAACTGTTACAACCATCATCAAAACAGTACAAGTATTTATAAAGAACTGCCTACACAAGATACTCAATGTCCGTTGATCGGACACCATCAGCAACAACCTACCATAGAAGAGAACAAACCAGTCTCTATCTAAAGAGGAAATCAAGACGCCGGAGGATAAGAGGATATCGATTACGGAAATTACCAGACTGCATCATGAAGTAAAATCTAACTTAGAAGCTGAAGGGAAAAGAAGAAGGGGTAAACCAAAGAACACATTGGGTCGATAATTGGAAGCACACATGAAAAGGATGAATAACAACTGGAAAGAACTGGGAAAGACTGCTCATGATAGAGTTGGGCAGACAATGCTGGTGGACATCCTATAGTCCTCCAGGAAGGGTAACAGGCGTAAGTAAGTATTCCAAATAATAGCTACTGAATTCAAAACAATAAATTATTACTGAGAAACTGTAAACTTATTCAAATTACAATAGTTACGATCATGAGTCAATTGAAACCAGAAAACCATGGAAAATCTGGAAGCATTGGACAGTTGTTTCGTTCTATTGTGGGACTCCTCAGCAGCGCGCGATATTCGAATTCAGAACCTATTGGTCTCGCACGCGATCTCTTTACCTATAAATCACTGAGTTGGCATCCAATAGTGTTAATGTCTAACTTCAACTAATCCACAAAATTGAGCAACTATCTTACAACTGACCCGGTTAAACTCCAATGGTCACTGCTTCTCGCTAGAACTCCAAGATATACACTTTGAAGCCAATCATTAGTGAGCATATATGGATTAGTATTAGATTAATAGTAAGACCATTATTTCTCTATGATATTGAATGTAAGTCACAAATAAACGGTGATTAGTATTGATTCTCACATGCATAAACAAAAGAAATCTATCCGAATATCGATTTTTCGATAAACATTTTTGATTGTACTGACCTTATCTCTATGAAGATACAATAAAATAAACAAAATTGTACTAAACCTTATACAATCCATATACGGAGGTAGTTTGCACTTAGATTTTTGTTTTGTCCATATTTATCATTATTGTCAGTCATTATGAAAAAAAACAGTGAATCTCAAAGTGCATGGAATTAGTCATAAACAATCAGAAATGTTTATCAGTATAGCATTGTGTGGAAATTTTTTCAAGTTTTTGATCGAGATCATAAATCGATCAGTGTTAGACTACTAATAAGAACCTAGAAGCTTTGGATGGACGTGTTGTCCCATTATAGGAATCTTCAGCAATGTGCAATTACGATCCCGCACTCGAAATTAGGACCCAGGACCTCCGATTTTACGCACAAAAGCTTAACCTCTAGAACACTGAGTTGGTCAGCATCCAGTGGTGTTAATGTCAAACTTCAACCAATCCAAGAAATTACGTGGTCATCTTACATTGTCTGAGGTAGATATCTGTATCTACCTGACTCAGATTACCTCCGCTGATCTCGGCTTCTCACTAGAACTCGGAGAATCACCTCATGAAGCTAGTCACTAGTGAGCATGGGGTTATGGAGATTGTTAAGTTTTTGATTGAGATCATGAACTGATTGATGCTAGAACACCATTGAAAATCTGGAAGCACTGGATGACCGTTTCGTTCTATTGTGGGACTCCTCAGAGGTGTGCATCTACGATCCTACCTCACAGGATTCGAACCCAGGAACTATCGGTCTCGCACTGAGCTAGCCGTCATCCAATAGTGTTAATGTATAACTTCAATTAATCCACGAAACGGCCGTCCAATGCTTTCAAGTCTTCTATGGTGGTCTAGTTTCCATTGACTCATGATCTCAACTTTTAAATCAGTTACCACTTTATAGGGGTATGTAAAACCACGTTGATGAGTGTCAACTAGCACAAAACTCATAAGCCAAACAGAATTCCTGATCTATTACCCCTAAAAGCCATGTTAGTGAACCTAAACATTTTATGTCACTAAAACCTTAAGGAACATTGGACAATTTTAAATTGTCTATAGGAAGTTTTCAGAAGAAAACTCAGCTAGACCTAGTTTTCATCCTTGTTAATACTCTTCAGTAAGGCGAAACAGTAATCTTTAAGGTACTTTTGTTGTACGTGGAACACTGACTTGTGTCAACCAACAAAAAAGTTTGATGGTAACAGTAGAAGTGTAGTGAACTGAAACTTACATGGGGGGAACCAATTTATTGGTTAATATAAAATTACAGAGTATCTTCTTAAACTACAAAAACTATACACCGACTACTCCATTTGTACATCCTCCCATCAGTTTGTCTTTTACAACCCTCCGATTCTCAATTCCTTTATGTTTCCCTTTCTGTTTTATTCAGTTTAATCTTCTCAACCTTCTTTTGATCGGTGTTACATACTACTTATATCTGTAAATATAAGTAGCATTCACCATGGCAGTAATATTGATTTAGTCGGTAAGAAATAATTCAACATGTATACATGTATATATATAAACAAGCTAACTTACTTCAGCGAAAGCAGAATGTCTTGGTGGTACCGTAATACGTGTATCTACACCCCATGCAAGTTCTTCTTCAGTTGATTGTCTTGTTGATGATCCAATTGAAATTTCATGTTTAAATCCAGCATTTGCTTCCATAATTGAATTAGGTAACTAATATGATCAAATTAGAAACAGAATGTCAATAAATCTGATCCAAGTAGAAAGTTTATTCAAATGAACTATTTCAGATAGATTTTGTCAATACAACTAATGCTATATAATGCCATATATAATAATAGAAATAGAATAAGATATATGTTATGTAATAAATGATACTCACACAATCGGTGCGAATATTGACTTTTGTGAGAACATAACATTCAAAAACAAAGTTTGAGTTTTGTCGTTTAAGCTTTTTTGGTTGTCGAAAGGGATTTTGTGGAGATTTTAGACATTTCAATAGTTGAAATCATGAATCAATTGAAGCTAGACCATCATGGAAAACCTGGAAGCACTGTAAGGCCGTTTCGTCCTAATATGGCACACCTAAGCAGTGCTCTTACACGATCGCACCCCTCTGCGAGATTCGAACCCAGAACGATGTTGGATGTGTTACTTAATTTTGTGGATAGCTTGAAGTTAGACATTATTACCATTGGATGCCAGATCAGTGGCCTAGAGGTTAAGCTTTCAAATGTGAGACTGATAGGTCCTGAGTTCGAATTTCGCGGGGGATGGGATCGTAGATGCGCGTTGCTGAGGAGTCCCGTATTAGGACAAAAAGGCCTTCCATTGCTTCCAGGTTTTCCATGGTGGTCTAGCTTCAACTGACTCATGATTTCAACTATTGTAATAGTTTCATTTATATCACTTACCAGAATACTTGAGTGCTCTAATTCTGAAGAAAAGTTGAGTCTTAAAAATAACTCAGTAAATCCTGAGCGATTTTTTTCACTCAGATCTTAAGAGCTGGTCTATAATTCAATCAACCTTGGAGCTCTTCTAATGAATTTGTTTCAATAAAAGACAAGGATTAAGGTGAAATGGGTTCATCTTCTCTCAATAATACTTATAATTAGGCTCCATTAATTGATTTATCTCGGCCCTGGTACAGCCGAGAGTGGGAAGAGTCAGCTCTCCATCTCCAAATGCTCTCACATGGACACGTGCATACAACTACTGACAGGGAAGCCCTAATCACTACCTTCTCATGGGGAGGGATGTTGTTCACGAGATTGAAAAGACGAAAAGAGAATGTTCGACGTATTAGCCGGATCGGTGGATACGGAGCATCTACCTAGGAGATTTGAAGAACCCTAGTTCCAAATCAAATGTGCACAAGGGTTCCAAGATCTTGAGGGGACAAATGGTGCATGAACCAAACACTGGCCACCGACTACCATGGTATGTCATCTCTTGACGTTGCTCCACTTACTTATAGATCGAACCTTTAGGTCTAAGGCTTCGAGTGTGGCCTCTTAAGGAAATCATCTGCTTCGGTTTAGGTACTCTGTCAGTAGTCCAGCTCTTACACAATTTGAATGATTTATGTGGCACATTTTGTGAGTAGACATTCTCAAGGTCATTTTAGCGTCGTTCAAAGGTTGTTCATAGAATGATAAATTTATCGTTTATTATCATAATACTCATGTATTTTGATTTGACAATAGAATGATTCATTTTAATGATTAAAACAAAATAGAATTGATGTATTTGATAAAATGTATTTTGTTCATTTGTTTACTCAAAACAAAAAAGATTCATCAGTTCAAAGTCTAATTTATTTATAATTGAATAAATGAATAAGTTTTATGAATTGATTAAAGTTAAACAGATCATCATAGAAAAAAAAAACATGGAAGTGGTCATTTCGTTCTTGTATGTACTTACTAGTGACTGAATTCAGAAGGTATTTCCTGAAGTTCTAGTAAGTAGTCATGTCTGTTATAGAGGCATTTAATCACTAAAGACAATGATTGACGAACGTGTAATATCGTGGATTAGTTGAAGTTAGACATTAACACTAAAAGTCCTGGGTTTATATCCTGCGTGTGGGATCTTGAGCGTACACTGTTAAGAAATCCCATACTATGACGAAACGGCCATAGAATACTCTCAGGTGACCGAAGGTCCTGAATTTCAGTCTCACATGCGGAGTCGTGGATTCTCACTGCTGAGGAGTTCCACAACAAGACAAAACGGCCGTATCATGCTCTCAGGTGACCGAAGCTCCAATGTTTGAGTCCCACGTGCACAGTCGTGGAGTTTCACACAAGGACGAGACAGTCATCCTGTGCTTCTAGGTTGTCTATGGCACTTTAGCTTTAACCGACTCATGAATTCAACTATTATAAATGATTACAATCTTCATAAAACCGCCATTCTGATAAGATAAATCATTGCATAAATATTATACTCAATCGATTCTTCGAAAAGGGTAGACATTAAATTGTTTTAATTAACCTTCTGTCATAAAATACATCTCATTATTTATTTATTTATCTGTCTATCCATCCATATCCATATCCATTTATAATACCTCTGTAGTTCACTATGACAACGGATAAGCACAAAGAGATTAAGTCTTCTGTCCGTTACTATAGTTACGTCAACTGTTCTCATTTGCATAAAATCGATCTCTATTGATTAGTAAAATTTTGTTTTTTTCTAAATTTGGATTTTCAAACGATTAAAGTCATTATGTAAGACAAACAATATAATCCATATTATGTATGTATATGAACCAGTGAATGTCACAAGGCAAGCCTTCATTTGGAATCTTCAAGGCTAAAGGAGAAATAGGAGACCAGGAAGATTAAAGAACTGAATACGCTGAGAAATGTAGAGAGAGAGTGAGAGATAGAGACATGAGAAGAATGAACAACATTTGGATAGAACTAGAAAAGAAAGCTCAGGATAGAGTGGGTTGAAGAATGCTGGTCACCTAGTGACTGACTGGATTATGAAGCTGTCAACATCTGAGGGGAAGCATGGGATACAGTGGACAACTAGGATGCAACTGGATGATCTACACCTCGCAGTTGATCTGGCTCTTTTATCACACACGCAATAATAAATGCAGGAGAAGACGACTAGTGTAGCAGCAGCCTCAGCAGAACTAGGTCTCAATTTACACAAAAGGAAAAGCAAGATTCTCCAACACAACACAGCATGCACCAATCCAATCACACTTGACAGAGATTTGGAAGATGTAAACACCTCTACATATATGGGCAGTATCATTGATGTACACAGTGGATCTGATGCAGATGTGAAGGCGCGGATTGGCAAAGCAAGAGCAGCACATTTACAACTGAAGAACATCTGGAACTCAAAACAACTGTCTGTCAACCAAAACCAAAGTCAGGATTTTCAATACAAATGTCAGGACAGTTCTACTGTATAGGCAGAAACTTGGACAACAACGAAAGCTATCATCCAGAAGATACAGGTGTTTATTAGCAGCTGTCTACGCAAAATACTTCAGATGCGTTGGCCAGACATTATCAGCAACAACCCACTGTGGGAGAGAACAAACGAGATTCCAACAGAGGAAGAAATCAGGAAGAAGTCCTGGAAGTGGACAGGACACATACTGAGGAAAACACCCAACTGCCTCACAATGCAAGCCCTCGCTTGTAATCTTGAAGGTCAAAGGAGAATAGGAAGACCAAAGAACACATTACTTCGAGAAATGGAGACAGAAATGAGAAGATTGAACAAAAATTGGACAGAACTAAAAAGGAAGGCCCAAGACAGAATGATTTGGAGAATTGTGGTCGGTAGCCTATGCTCTATTTGGAGTAACAGCCGTAAGTAAGTAAGTGAGTATGCATTAATGCTGAATTCACACCGACTGAGACTCCTGAACTATACCAATAACAAATGTGTATTGCTATACTCTCAAATTATTCATTTAAAGTTAATAAAAGTTCATAGTCGTTCAATCTTTGTTTCAATTCATTTGGCATACTTGACATATTTCTCAAGCTTATGGAATAAGATTTTTCAGATAACTTCGATCGTAGAAACTACGAACAACATTATTTCCATTTAAACAGTCAACTAACGTAAATACTGTTTATCTTAGCGATTGGATAGTCAGTGAAATCTAGGTAAGACTGAAAATTTATCGCTTCATCATGAATAATACATTGTTAGCAACACTCATGAGAACAAACCAGATCCCAACGGAGGAAGAAATCAGGAAGAAGCAATGGAAGTGGATAGGACACATTGAGGAAAGCACCTAACTGGGTCGCAGGGCAAGCCCTCACATGGAATCCTCAAGGCCAAATGGGGAGAAGAGGAAGACCAAAGAACACATTACGCCGAGAAATGGAGATAGACATGAGAAGAATGAACAAGAGTTGGATGGAACTAGAAAAGAAGGTCTAGGACAGAGTGGGTTGGAGAATGCTGGTCGGCGGACTATGCTCCATTGGGAGTAACAGGTGTAAGTAAGTAAGTAAATAAGTAAGCAACACTCATACATCAATCATACAAAGAATGTCAATCAATAACTTTAATACACTTGATAAGTACTATACGTTTGAATTGAAATTCATCAGTTCATCATTTATACTTCATTCATCATTCAGTCAGCGTCATTCATAATAATTCCGACATGTTAGAACGATGTAAGTTATGATTTTGTGGAGATGACAGAAACACTGAAGGTCTCTTTCTCTTTCATATGGAACTCAACAGAAATGAACATCTAGGACACCATGTCTGGGAATCGAACTCAGGACCACTGAGCTCGCATCTAAAGGTGGTAATGTCTAACTTTAACCAATTCGATAAACTGCTTAAACATTACCGTTTGGATAACTATCTAACATATTCAACAAGATTAGGTCGTGAATAAGCACTACTGAATAGTTTCAAACTAGTAGAAAATATCCGTTCACTACCTCCAGGTTTCTAATGATGATCAAACTAACATCGATTCGTGATTATGTAATAACATAAGCCCGTAAAGGAAAAAACGCTGAGCAAACCTTTTTTCCCTTCTTTACATTTGTTCCATAAACCATTGATCTAAGTTGTTCTTTTCAAAGTATACACTAATAGACAAAACAATCTTAATCTTATTTCATAATGACGTAATCAACTCATGTTCATCAATGTCAAGCTTCTAAAGAAAAAAACATTCTGCTTCAAAATGA